ATGCCTCCCCGTCAGTCCCCTGGGGCTGGTCACTCACGGGCAGCGCGGCCGGGGCTCCGACTCAGACCGCCGCCATCCACCCCGGAGGAGGAGCAGGAGGAGGTGTGGGAGGAGGAGGGGGAGAAGGGGGAGGAGAGGGAGGGCCCAGAGCGACCCGGAGTGAAGGGGCGGGGAGGGGGTAGCCACTCCGCGGAGGCTCTTGCGTCCCTGCCCCACCCCCTGCTCCGTCCTCTGCCGGATCCCCACTTCTTTCCCGCCGTGGATCCCCAAAACTTTTTCTGGTGTCTGATTCTCCATCTCTTCCCTCCGTTATCTTCCTGCACCTGAGTCTCCAGCCCCCAAGTCGGGGAGAAGGTGCTCCGTTCCCCAAAAGTGGGGCGCGGCAGGGGCAGGTATGAGTTACGTTTGGAGGCCCCTTGAAGTAGACGGCTGGGGCCTTTGACAGATCTGAAGCCACCCTGCACCCCCTAGGATTGCTATCATCGCTGCGTGGTGGGATGATGGGGGCGGGGCAGGGATGAGACCTGTGGTGTTTTCCACCTTGCTTTACTGAGCTTTTGGGTTTTCTTTTCTCTTGAGATCCGATAGGAGAACTAAAGAACTTTTTTGACGTTTTTTAAAAACTTAAGTATAGTTGATTTACAGTATTATATTAGTTTCAGGTGTACTGTATAGTGATTCGGTATTTTTCACAGATTATACCCCCACTAAAAGTTTTTACAAAATAATGGCTGTAATTCCCTGTTCTATTCAATATATCCTTGTTGCTTATCTATTTCACGCACAGTAGTTTGTATTTCTTAATCCAACACCCTTAATTTGCCCCTCCCCTCTTCCCTCTGGTAACCACTAGTTTGTTTTCTGTTGAGTCTGTTTCTGTTTTGCTACATACATTCATTTGTATTGTTTTTTAGGTTCCACTTATAAGTGATATCATACAGCATTTGTCTTTTTCTGTGTAACATTTCACCATGCATAAAATTCTCTAGGTCCATCCACGTTGCTGCAAATGGTAGCAGTTCATTCTTTTATGGCTGAGTAATACTCCCTTATAGATGTGTGTATATATATACACCACATCTTATTTATCCATTCATCTGCTGATGGACACTTGGGTTGCTTCCATATCTGGGCTAAGAATTATTTTTGAAGCCTCTGTCAAGTGGCTCCTCTTTTCCCTGAAGGTGGGGCCAGCCCTGGTGCCAGGGTAAGATGAAAGGTAAAGATGGAATCCCACCTTCAAGGCCCATCAATACTAAAGAGGAGGAGACAGACTAGTGAAGGGCCAGGCTGTGTGGATGAGGCAGAATGCAGAAGACAAGGGGAGTTGTCCTTCAAGAAGAGCTTAAAGGGTGGCTTCTAGTCCCTACTCCATCACCTCCTAGCAGGTGATTCTGGGCAAGTCACTTGACATCTGAGCCTCTTCCACAAATGAGGCTGCCCCACTAGCAATCAAAATAAAAGAAGATCCACTAGTGCCCTTTACCCTGGAGGGACACCTAACCCCAGGATGGGAGGCTTGTGAGGATTTGAACAGACTCAGAGAGGAGAAAAAAGGGCATTCCAGGCCCTAGGACATGGTGCTTTGGAGGCTGGCAGGACTGAAAGGCTTAGGGCAGGTGGGAAATGTTTGGATGAGAAGGTGGGACTGGACATAAAGCAGAAAATGGGAAATCCATAAAGTTTTTAAGCAAAGGAATATTTTTTTTCCTGCCTCAGGTTTATTTGTACAAACAGCACAGGTAGACATGAGCCCCATGCAGACAGCAGCCCAGAGGTCACACCAGTCCTTCTATCCTCACATCAGTAGATGAAAGCCTCTACTCTGGAGCCTTTGTTGGGGGCCTGTGTACCTTTGGGAGCCAGAGCCGGAGCTGCAGCTGAAGCTGTGGCCTTGGTCTAAGCCTTGTCCTTGGCCTTTGGCCGACAGAGCCTGAGACCCTTGGCAATGTGGGCATGAGCACATTTTCTGAGCCTGGGGTGAGCAGTGTAGGCAAGCTGACTCAGCTTGCGGCTGTTCCTCTTTGGGATCTTGGGCTTGACCTCCTTGGGCTTTCCAAGAGCCTTGACAGTCTCAGCACGTGCACTCATGGCCTTGGCGTTGTTGGCCTGCATCTTCTTCAGGCCCTTCTTGCTGTGCTTCTTGGCAAAACGCGTGTTCCTCAGGAACATGGGGTCCACCCCCTTAAGAGGTTCGTATCGTTGTGATCAGGGTTTTTTAATGCCATTTCTGTGCCACTTTCAGGACTGGTTGTGTGTGGTGTGGTTCTTCGACTTGGCCATGTCTGCACCGGAGCTGGGAGATCCCGAATCAAGCAAAGGAATATTTTGATGCAAGTGGTATCCTGTTCACTGTTGTATTCCCAAAGCCTAGCATACAATAGGTACCCAGTAAACCGTTTTGGACTCAAAATGGCGATTTAGGAATACCGATTTAATGGTCTGAAAAGTCCATCTTTCAGATGGACTATCTGGGAAGAGGGGGCTTGAGCTCAAGGAGAGGAGTTAGGAGGCCCTAGTGAACATCTCACCATGAAGGACAATGCCTGGTGGTGGAAAGGAAATGAAGGAATTCTGATTGAACACGTCCTTCTGTTTGCACCGCAGTGTGATTGTCTCTTCAATGCTCTTTTAGGTGTAGTCTTACTTTTGACCTTGGTGTTCCTTGGTGAAATGGAAAAGATAACCAGTCAACTGCCAGCCAATGGTTAGAACCTGTGCTGAGGGCTTTGAGGAAGGAGGGAAACATTCAGAGGGCATGGGAATGCCTTAAGTCACACAGCTGGGATCTATTTAGGATACTTTTAGCTTCAGATAAAATTTCTAATTGTGTTTATGCTTAAGACATCCTAAACAACCAGAAAAAGGCATCAGGTCCTCCTCACTTCCCTATTTCCTCCCACGACCATCCCTCAAGAGTTGAGGAAGAGCAAGAGGGAGCCTGGAGAACAGAACGTCAACCGAATGGTAACTTTTCAGAGACTCTTCTGTGGAATCAGACAGGTACTGCATCAGAGTCAGCCTTCTGGTAAGGAGCTGAGAAAAGTGCAGAGCAAAAAGGACAAAGAAAGAGAGAGGCAGAGGAAGGGAAGAAAAGAGGGGCTTTGACCCCAGGCATTCTGGCTGAAGCCCCAGACTGAAACTCCTGTATCCCGTGTCTAGCCCATCTCAGAAAATGCCACAAGTAACAATTGGAGAAAGGACTCAAACAGGAAACCCCACCACACTGGACAAACCAGCAACTGTCGATGCATTTAAATGAGTCCTGAGCATACCTTCTTTAATTCCATCATCTTAGACTAAGCAGTATGGCCTTGATTAGTAGGCAGTCCACCTAGTGAAAGAAATAATTGTTTTGGAAACTTTGACACTTCTGCAAAGCAAATAGGCCCATAATTTTCTAAAGACCAAATCAGTTGGTTGAAAACCATTTATCTTTTGCAAGAGACAGCCCCTCCTCTTCTGTGTGACTCAGCATGGCCCCAAAGGTTGCCACTTTCATGAATGCAGATTTATTTCTTGTAACTCCTCCACATATTTCCAAAGGACCCTTTCTGGCAGTATCCCTTTGTATCAAAATCTGTTGGTAAACAGCTCAGCCTGGCCTCAATAGCTAGGCCACCACAGCTGTTCAAGGCTGGCTGTGCCTGTGACCTCATGTTACTCCAGATCCTGTTCTTTTCCTAGCTCTACAGTAAGGAGACCCTCAGACCACATCACTCTTCTTGTCATTAGCACGTTTCCCTTTCCTGGCAGCCTTTTTAAGGAAACCATTTAGAATTCTGTTTAACAAGGGGCCCCCAAATTCTCTGTAAATATGATCCAGTATATTAACTCAGAATTCCTCAAAACTCAAATCAGTTGAAGCTGTCAGGATCTGTTAATATAAATTCAAACCAGCTTGTGGAAATGCCTGATTTGAAAGGGGATTTGGTTGGAAAGTGAGGACTTCAGATCTAGAACAAGCTTAGCCCTAAATGCTTGATAAGAACATTCCTCCCTAAAAACTTGAAAACAGTAAGTCTCTATTTATATTGCAACGTTCATTCAAGACAGAGTAAAAGCTTGTGGAAAAATCGTACTCCAAAAAGGTATTGAACAGTGATAGCTTCAACAACAGTGAAAATGAAACAGGAAAAAAAAATCACCATTTTAGGCACATGATGCATTCTGGACTGATATTTGAAGAACACACTGTTTTTAAACAACTTTATCTATGAGGAAACTTGAATACTTGTGGAAAGAAATTTCCAAAGATAAATAAAAAGCCCACATCTTCACTGAGAATGCTAACTGAAATCAATGGTAATTTAGGGAGATGATCACTTAATCAACTCTGATTGGCTATCCTTTGTCTTGGAGATGGGACACTCTTAGGTGTGGCTTGAGCTAGTGATACAGTCCCTTGGCCTGCTCCCTAAAACGTATCCAGTTAGCATCAATTGAACACCTACTATGTACAAGACATCCTGCTAGGCACTGTGGGGAAGTAAGTGTAAGGCATGGTTCCTGCCTCACAGCATCTGTAGTTGTTCAGAGAGACAGCATACAGCAAAATGACCAGATGGGATGTGTTGACAATTTAACATAACAGAAGAGGTGCCCTAAGGAAATGCAGGAAAGTGGAAGAGAGGGAGCGTATTCTTCAGCATCTGAGCAAGACGTGAGCGACATTTTGTTTTTGTTAGTTAACTGAACTGCGTTGTTTCTATTCTTGGACCTCTGGGGTGTCACCACTCAGCCATCCCACTAGTGTTTAGGGAATAGTGGGGCTGAGTTCAGAGATCATTAAACACACCACAAAGGTTCTAAGTGGGGGAGGTACCTTTTGAGGCCCCTACATCCACAAACCAGACAACAGATTCCAGCATGTTTCTACCCAGGAGTCAATTCTAATCCTCTCCTTATGAAAACAGTTACTCTAATTCTGCTCTATAACCTTTTCTTTCAAAGATTTGGAAGAACTGTAATGGGTTTTCCTGCTCTAATGCTCTGACTGCCAGATAATTTCCTAATTTGGAGCTAATTACCAAACTGCTTAAAAATGTAAGTCACAGGCAACACTTACTGACAAGCTTTCCACTTACCACCATGGTATCTGAGGACATGGCCCTTAGCCAAGAACAGAAGCTTCCAGCTTCCTCTTCTATCCCAGAACAGACTATTCCTTGTCAGTGTGGCTCTGCCAGATGGTTTCTTAGCCATCATCAACCAAGTTGCTATCTTCATATGTTAAAGTTATAGAGTTAGTTTGAAGACTTTTAAGAGCTGGGAACAACTTTCAGGGTCAATGCTGCATAAAACAAAACTCTAAACTGTACATTTTTCTGTCTGACGATTTTTATTATGAAGAAAGCTTTCATTCGTAGTCATCTGGAGATAGCCTTTCCCTCCAACTTGTTTGATGACTTTCTTAGCTAATTGGTTCCTCATTTTACTTATTTTTTTCTCACATTTTTGTTTGGAAATAGTGCAGCTGAGTTTTTGTTTTAATGGATAATGAACTTGGAAGTGGTCATGTTGCTAAAAAGTATCTGTTAGCATAACTGATAGAGTTAGTTTCTTACCAAAAACAGTGGGAAAGCCAATTTTATCAGCTTTGAAAAGTGAGCAGTATTGCTTATAATAACATAACGGGGGGGGGTGTTTAAAAGTGATCTGACAAGACACATGCTATTTTATCACTATTTCTCAAGCTGTGCGTGGAGCATCTTATCCCTTCTCCCAGGCCTGCTATAGAACAGAATGTGAACAATGCCCCCTAGAGTTGTGCAGCCAGCTAACCTACCTCCCGCCCCATCACTTCCTATTTAAGAGTTTTTTTCTCATTTGGAGTTTCTTATAACATAATCCCAATTCTTATTAAAAACTTATAATGCATGAAAAAACAGGAATAAACAAAATATTAATAGCTGAATCTCCATAGAAGGAGATGTGTGCTCTTGAAACTTTCCCTCATTTTCCAAATTTTCAACAATAAGCATGCAGTATGTAATCAAGAAAAAGTCGGAAATGTCATTTCAATAAGTTCTGAAAATTCCATCTCCTTCAGGAAGCAATGCATGATAATTAAAAGTCATTTTTCTTATTTTTTCCTTTTGCTCCAACGTGGATTTCAACCAACCGAGTCCCTACTTTGTGCCCAGACCGAGATTTCTCTCTCATTTTTCACCTTCCAAGCCCCCAGAGGTCTGGTCAGAACAGACGATGCTTTGAGAGGGGCGCTGCAATGGAGGCAGAGGCACAAGACACTCACTGAAGGGCTTGTGGAGTGTGAAACGGTATTTTAAGAGTGGCAGCCGCTTGATGCCCAGAATAATGAGGAAGGGAGATCCCAAAACAGCAGCAGTATTGCTGGCCTAGAGACCAGCCAGGATAGCCTGGAGCAGATCAAAGGACTTGTAGGAAAGACTTCTTGATGGAGATAAATCTGGCTGAACACCCAAGTGAATCTGACAGCAGAGACAGAAGTTATATACCGAGAGAGAATTTAGGAATAAATGATGAGTACCATAGAAAACACAGATAAATAAATAAATAGGTAAGTAAATAAAGAGCCAATTATTAACTCCAGGAAAAATAAAGAGTTGTACAAGAAAGGAAAAGTAATCATGCTACATCGTGTGACTCGGCGACCAACAGCATTTAAATAATCTTAGTAAGGAATATACTGAATATCGACCTAATCAAAATGTTGGTATAACTAGCTTGAGAGAAGACAGGAAAACAGGAAGCATGTATATGTATGTGAGTGGTGAGGAGAGGGAGGCAGATGAAACAGAGACAAATCCTCATCTTCCAACTGTGACATCAACTGATAAAGCCTAACAGAAAAAGCAAAAGTAGCGTGCCATTTGGAAATACGGGGACAGACACCAAAATAGTGAGTGCAAGTGCTTTTCTTTGGGGAGCGTGATACGAGGGGGAGGATCAGGAGGCTGTTTTTGTTTGCCTCGTTTTGTTTTTTCTTTGTAGTAAGTATTTTAGAACAGTTTGACTCAAACTAAGTTTGTAACTTTCGTAAAAATACAGACACTTAATTACAAATGTTACAGCCTTGACAGATTATCCCTCACTGCCCAGTGTGAGGCTAGCCCAGAGCAGGCTGGATGACCTGTGGCCATCTGTAATTACGCATGGACGCGATCACTTTGTTGTCTCACTAGCAGGCAGCCAGCACGCCTGTTTTGCGCATCAGTCTCATCAGCACTGACCACTCAGCAGGCGCTCCACACGTCCTTGTTGAGCAAATGATGAAATGAGTAAGACAGATACAGAAGGTAGTGCTCCCCATCTTTACACAGGTATGCATAACTGAAGGGTTTACAGGTGAAATGAGCCAATGTCTGGGAATTGCCTTAAAATAGTCCAGGAAAAAAAAAAAAGAGTGTAAAAAAGATAAAAAAAGATTAACAAAATGCTCATAAGATGTGATGGGGACATAAGAGTTCATATTAGTCTCTCGTTTTGTGTATGTTAGAAAATTCCTTTACAAAAAAAAAAAGAAGTAACAACAAAGTTTATACAGGAAGAGGATTATAAGGGAGGGGTAGCGTCATGGCATACATTTATTAAATTCAGAATTTGGTAGCTGGGAAGGTTTGTGTAACAGGGAATATGTAAATAAAAATAGGGGTCAGAGGAAAAAAAAAAAGCATGTCAAAGACAAACACTGCACCAGGGCCGTTAGCCCAGGAAGCTAACTGAAAGCTGAAAGAAGGGTAGAGGTACATAATGAAGACATGGAAAAGGAAAGCTGGATGGAGTGCAGGAGTTACTGATCCTCCAAATACAGAGCACCTGTAGGAACAGAACTGAATGTCCCCAATTTAAAGCAGAACTACAGCACTGCAGTAGTGAGTGACCTAGGCTCTGGAATCGGCCTAGCCTGGATCTGACCCCTGATCCACACATACCAGCTGTGTGACTGTGGACAAACTGCTTAGCTGCTCTGAGCCTTGGTTTTCTGTCTGTTAAAACGGGGGAAGTGATAGCACCAATGAGATATAGGTATTGGAGGTTTAAATGAAATAAGTCATGGCAAGCCTCATTCCATGCCTGACTTAAGTAACTGGTTAACAAATGGTGGTTATTATATGCCGGGGCAAGGTACTCTGCCAACAGAGCAGAGATCTTAGCAGTTAAGTTGAAAAGGGACAATTCTGCCAGGGAACCAACTGCACCCTCTACAGTCCTGCCCTGTCCCTCAGGCCGAGGAACCCTCCCAGATGCACTGACCCTGACAGAACGGCCAGACAGTCTCCAAGTACTGCCTGCGGGTCTGTGGGAACCAGACACCATGCAGGGTGAAAGGGGCCACCAGTCTGAGAGCTCTGGCAGCTCATGGCTGATGGGAGATACAAGTCTCAGCCACCAAAGCAAAGAGGGACACAATCCCAAGATTCACATTTTCTCTAAGGAAAAAACAGGCCCAGCTCTCAGGAGAAGTGTAACTCTCCCTAACCCAGAGGTCTGAGTGTGTTCATAAAGACAGAGGGCGAGGACGCTGGGCGCGTGGAAGAGAACAAGGAGAAAGTGAGTGATGGTCAGCTTGTGTGTCCACACGTACCCACTAGAGCTAGACTGTGCCCAGCAGTCAGTGAGGGGCCACCGTGAAGGCTTTCCACCAGGGAAACGGCTCTGGAGAGAGACGGTCTGGTAAAAGGCGTAGGAGGTCTGGGTACAGGAAGACGGGTCGTCCAGACAGTAAGGAGCCAGGGCTTGATTCATGGTTTTGAGTAAGGATCCTGCAAAGGCAGAAAGACTCAAAAAGAAAAGATAACCAATGAAACATGTGAGGTGAGGAGGAACCCAAGGTGATTCCCAGGTGCTCGGCTTAAGTTACAATCAGGTGGAAGCAAGCTGCTCCTCCCTCAGTCCTCCCTCTCAGTCCTGTTTGTTCAGGTTAAAATCCTTGCCTCCCCTTTGACCCCTCCTCTTTCTCTCACATTCCACATCCAGCCCAATCAACATTCACGTCAACCAGTGTTCACTGAGTGCTAGACGATGTTCTAGGTACAGTGAACAAACCAGACCAAAAATCTGCCTTCCTGGCACTGCGTCTTCTAGAAGTAGAAACAGGCAGTACATGAGATAAATAAGCAAAACACACTGTATGCTAGAGTATGGTAAGTATTAGGATTAAAACAAAGCAGAGATGAGTGGCGTAAGTAAAGGGGGAAGGTGCTGCGATTTCAGCAAATCCTATTCACTCTCTTCAAAATAAACCCAGAAACAGACTTTACACAACTTCCTCTGCCACCATCATCTCTATCCCAACTTGCTTGCTTCCACCCTTGCTCCCCTACAATCTATTCTCAACATAGCAGCCAATTCCATTAAAGCATCAGCCAGACGATGTCACTCCTTTGTCCCAAACCCTCCAAAGGAAGAAGAGAAATGGACTAGAAACTCTGATTACAGCATCACAGAACACTGAGGGTCTAGCGGGGGCTGGAAACTCTAGGTGTACAGTGGAGCTAATCAGCATGGTGACTTGATGTTTCCCTCTCAGTGCTTGGGGGCTTAGATGCAGCTGCAATGGAAACAGCTGGTTCAGTTGATGGAGAATTAAAATGAGCAGGGCACAGAAAACAGAAAGGGCAAAGGGGCTAGGGACTCGAAGGGCCCAGAGGATGGGACCAAGGTGACTCACCCAGAGATCCCCGAGGCAGGATTCAAACACCTTCATTACTGTGAGGACTGGGCACAACCACCAGACTCTCCTGAGCAGTCAGCCGAGGATGCGGGGCAGGGTCCGAGGAGTTGGCCTTTGTGCTGAGCACTGAGGGAAGCTGGTGGTGAGCTCTCAGGGAGAGACACCACTGAAAGGTACACTGAAATGACACAAGGTTTATGAAATAAACCAAGGGGAGCCTGAAAGGGCTGAAGGTCCTTGCTTGAAGTATGGTTGCGAGTACCTTGAGAGGTACTCAAAGCCTTAATAAAGGATTAATGTACAATTATTCCAATTTGGGGGATTAAAAAGATTACATCTAAATCAATTGGGATTTGGTAATTTCAAGAAGCCTACTTTAGTAAGTTTCAGTTTCCTTTATCAGATTTTCATAGAGAGACTGAAAGTTTGATGTAAGTACGAATTTATTGACATCAATTTTCCTTCAGCTATTATTCCAACACAGAGAGGGTACTGAAGAGTTGAAGACAATGATAATAAACCCACGAGATCTAAAGTTTTCAAGGCCCACTCCCTCCAGAACAGCAAAAGAGAAAAGGAGAGAAGGAGAGGGAAAATGTGTAAGTCTTCAAAACGCATCGAGACTGCTTTCTATTATAGCAAAAAGTAACGAGTTTGACAATTTAAGCATTTTATCCAGAAACATAGATCTATTCCATAGATACCAAATTGATTACCATATAATTGAGCTTGAAAATATACAAAATATTTGTTGTTCTTACATACTGAAATTAAAACCTAATTTTAAAAAGTGCACAGTAAAAACAGCGTAAGGAAACCTACAATATCCATGGTATGTATATTGTTTTCCATTTTACTGTCAACAACAAATTCTGTATTTGCCTTATTGGTTACAAATATATTTTAAATATTTCAAGGCCATTTACAACACTGACGACTTTACTAGGTCCAACAACACTCCAGCCATCTGAAGGCGGCCAGCACTGGACGTGGTCTCGCTCCGCAGCTCCGCACAGCAGTAGCAGCTCTGGAAAGAGAGCGCCCACCAGCCAGCTATTTGTAAACTATCGACTCTTGTTCTTTTTAGAATTTCCCTGTGCAGAGAAAAATATCAACAGTAAGAATGCAAACTTCTAGAAAAACCGTTTACACAGTTCAGAGACCAAGCTGTCTGGAAGCCATATTTCACTTTAGAAAACTTTCACTCCCAAGAGGGAGAGCAGCTGATTACCTGCATCGCTAACTTTTACTCAGGAATCACTAGGAGTTTGTTACTTTTAACTCTCCCCACTTTCTCCAGTCATGGACCTTATTCCCTTGGAGTCTGAAGACAGACAATAAAGAAAAAAAAGAAAGCTATCTTAGATTTAACAAACCTCAAATACCCATTTTGTTCCAAAGACAAGGTATTTTATGATTTCATAAAGCTGAAAAAAATTAGCTTAATCATCTTTCTCTGTTATTTAAACACCTTTTAAAAGGTCTTAATAGGCACTAATTTTGAATAGGTGCCAACTAGCACCCCAATGGCAATGATTATCTGTCAAAAGGAAGCTCAGATACTGGCTGAGAATGAGTTAGAGAGAAGAAATGTCTTAATTTATTCCCAATTCCCTCACACATGGAGATTTGGATTTACCAGTTTTATGTAACTTTTCTTCTGGAGAAGTTCACTTTTTAGGAAAACATCCTGATTAAATTCCTGTATTTAACTATTACGTACAAAGACTTTTTTTTCATGTAAGTGGGAAATGATTGCAGAATACAAACATTAAGAGCAAGATAATAGCAAACAAATGGTTTCAGGATGTTTACTTGGTGTCCAATGGAGACCATGTCAACTCAGCCATAAGATGATGCTGTAGCAATTTAAATTACCAATAAACAGGGGGCAGGTGGTGGGGAGCAAAATACAGGGACCAAAGAATGATCAAAGAAAGCTTAACAATAGAAACTACAAAGTGAAGAAGGATCTCTAGCTCAGTGTTTTATTAATGACAGATATCCTAAGGACTAGATTAAAAAGTTATGAGAGAGCTTAAAAATCCCCTAACTTCTAAAGTAGCTGCAATACAATTACCTTTGGGACAATAAGCTTTACTATACTCAACATTAATCCTTCTCAATCCAGAACCAAATGCCTTCTGAGCAACTCTGAGGTTGAAAACTTTCCCTGTAATCACTGCTACTTTTTTTTCAAATGTTATTATGTGCTAAAGCAGGCGTTCTCCTACGTCTCACACTAATGCATGTACTTTCATGAGTCACCTATTGCCCTGGCAGAATATCCAGAGGCCAAAAGGGTTAAAGGCAGCATTCTTCAAGATAACCAACACCCTACCCTCTACTTCCAAGCTCAAGTTTCCTGAAGCACAAGTGACTGGAGAACCCTAATCAGAACCACATTGGCTGGTTACAGTCATCACAAGATGTCCCAGAAAAGCATCACAGACACTCTCTGAAGTAGCCAGAGGCCAATCAATATCACAAAACTACGCTGAGAAACACAATTATATCACACAGATTCCAGTGCATTAACCCGATACACGTTCCAAGGAGACACCAACTGAGCAGCTGGCTGCACCACCACTGGCAGGTGCTACAGTGAAGCTATGGTTTGTTCATCTCCATGTCCTCCCCAGTGCCGGCACACAGTGGAACTCAGTAAATGCCTGCTCCATCAACAAGTGGCAGCAGCGGATCTCAAAGAGCGCGGGCTGGAGACTGTAAATCCTAGCTGCTGGTGGTACAGTATTGTCTAAGTTATAAAAATAAGCTAAGCACCTGAGATGATGCATGAAACCAACTCTCTGGCCTCTGGAAGCCTACCTTTCACATTAAGAGTATATACATTATGTTACAACAAAGAAACATGGTATGTGGATATGCACTTCCAACACAAAAACACTACCAATATCTACTGACCCCAGCCTGGACAAGCAGAGGCTTTACTGGAAATGAAATCTAAGAATCTTTTGGCATTAAAAAGACAAGATAGTCCTAGGTTATTTGGATATGTATGAGAATAAATTTGCTAAAGGAGGTTACTCTTCAACAGCACCATTTTAGACTCATATCAATGAAGAGTAATCCCTGTCATAAACCTCTAAGAGTGCTCCTGATTGATAGACTAGTAGCAGAAATACCAAAAATGCCCAAAATGCAAAAAAAAACCCCAAAAAACAAAAAACAACACAGGACACAGTAGTAGGGCTTCAGAGGTCAGATCATCTCTCAACTTATAACTTAATCAAAAAATCTTAATTTTTAATATTTTAATTTTAATAAGAGGGCAATTGATGAGATTTATAAACACTTTAAATCTCTTAACCTTTCACCCTTGAAAAGCACAGCAATGAAGTACCTTATATTAAATACATTAAATATGAAATATTATACTTCAGAGACACCCCTCCGTCCCCTCCCCTACCTTACTGGACATCTTTAGCGTGTCAATCTCTTCTCTCTGTTTAGATAATGTCTCATTCATGCTGCACAAGTGGTCACTCATCATACTTAACTGATCCTCGTAACTCCTCTTGGTAGTTGTCAGCTCATCCTGAATGGCGAGGGAAAAAAGAGAAATCAAAACCACTCGAAAGCATTTTTAATTTATGAAAAAAAAATTTGGAAAAGCAATCTATTAAGACCCATTTGATCAATTAACATGAAGGTTAAGCCACAGGCTTAACAAGAGAACAAAGTTAAAAGACATGGGGAAAAATTTTTCTTGGCCTTCAAAATACGTTCTGAATTTTTTTGCAAAAAATGAAAGAGTTTCCTTCTTTGCCAGGTATAAAATTGTCACCAAAAAACCAGAAGGCTACATGGTCTTTCCAAATTCCCTCAGGTTTTCCAGAGCCTTTGGTGAGGTGGGGAAGGCAGTCTCTGGCACATTCCTGCCACCTCACATCTCAACCGCCCATAGCCCTCTGGGCAGGACCCTCCCTGGAAGAGGCAACCTCCACTCTTCTCATCTCCCAGGCTCTCTTTGGCCCTTTAAAATCTAATCCTGTGCTCCTAGCTAATCTGATAAACTAATCTGAGACTAGGAGGACGTGTGTGTGGCTGTGTTAATGAGTTACTTCTCCACTTATATCATGTTTATATTTAATAAAGGCTTTCTGGAAACAAGGTTTTAAAACAAAGCAGTGATTAAGGAGGAATATTTTGCAGCCCTACCTTTCAGTTTACGTGACTTTTACCAAAGAGTGAAGAGAAGGAACACAGTCACAAGAACAGAACAAGCCCACAGCCCATGACAGGGCTTAACAGGGAGGAGAAGAAAAAGGAAGGAGCACGGGTAAGTAAGTATTACTCAGAGAAGTGCTGACTACAAAGCTATTTACAATAAAAGAGTTACAAGTTACAAGTTCGAGAAACCAATACTACAACCATTTCTTGCCTGATATAAGTGAGATGTTACTTTAAAATGAGTTAAGAATAAAATTGTTAGAAAAACGCGTGTCTAGAGGTCAAATGCCAATACTTTAGAAAGAAAATGTTGACTCTGTGGTCCAAGAACTTTCAATGAAAAAACATACTAACACTGCTTAGTAGCATGAACTCACCTGAAGTCTGCTAATGTTCTGAGTGGCTACTTTCATCTCTTCGGTCAGTGCCTCTTTGGACTTTTCAGCCAACGCCAGTCTTTTAGAGAGTGCTCGGCACTATTAAGTCAGAAAACATTCCATTATCCCAGAGAGCATTTCCCAAAACCAAATTTACTTCAGGAAGGGTTATGAGAAAACAAACCTCGAAGCCTAAAGTACTTCCTCCCTCCCCCACCTCCACAAGTATCAGTTGACTATCTACAGGCCATGTACCACATGCTGGAGTGCACATAAGAAAGATATGGTCCCCACTCACATCATTTTAATAAGGAAAAAAAAGTCTACTAACCCAAATTCATCAGTGTCTTTTCCTAGCTCTAGTCTGATGACTAAGGTTACAAAAAACGTTAAGAAGTTTTAACATTTACCCAAGATTCATTTACACCCACACTCAATGAGAAGGGATATGGTTACTTCAAAAGTTATCAATGGCCATGCAATATGAATCCTAAGATATTTTTCTTGTGTTTTAAGACCATATCACAGGACTAATAAAAGCTTTACAGCACTACTCCACAGATAAAAAAAAAGTGGATGCTGGGCTTTAAAGATCCCAGTTGCTTTCTTTGGAGGCTCTACCAAACCTAGGCTGTCCAGGACAGAGGAGATCAAGAAGGAAAAAGAAAAGTTCTGTTTCGTACTACATTCAAAGAGGGTGTGCCATTAAAAGGATCACTGGAGGGGGGAGGGTACAGCTCAGTGGTAGAGCATGTGCTTATTTAGCATGCACGAGGTCCTGGGTTTGATCCCCAGTACAACCATTTAAAAAAAAATAAGCTCACTAAATTTTCTGATAAACCATGAGACTGACAAGAGGATCTGTTGAGACACATTTGAAGGCTGTATCAATATCAGATGCTCAGACTAACCATTCCAGTAAAGTCATACAAAGGGCTACCACTTCCTGTTTACACACAGAAAAACTAGTACAACTTAAAAATTCTTGCATCACAGTTGTGCTGAAAGAATTTACCAAGATAAGCAAATCTCTTAGAAATAAAACAACCTCAGTTATCCCCCATTACTCATTTCATTCCTCACAAGAGAATTTTAGGCAAGTTCAGCCAACCAAATCAACCACCCCTCTATTAACCATGTGTCTCTATACTCAGCACTGACCCCGAAAGAGAGGGAGAGAGCTGTGTAAAGCCTGGGTTCTCATGAGGATGACAGTCAGGTCTGGGACAGTAACTCAGATGACAAGAACTGCAGCAGCTCTGTAGTCAGGCATCCAGCGTGCCGTCCTCTCCATTTTCTACAGCCCAACAGGAATCACTACTGGTCATCTTATCAGACAGGCATGTAATGGCTGTTGTAAACAACACTTAGCTAGGCACATCATTTATTTTAGCAGGAAGCAGGAAAACAGAAGCAAAGCCCCTCTCCACTCCTAGCAACTGGCTTCCTATCAACCTCTCCGTCTCTATAGTATAGGAGAAAATCACAGTCAGGTCCCAATAAAGGGCGTTGATTTTTCTTTGTCAATTTCCTTAACAATGTGAAGCATCATAATTCTCCATCTGCCATCTATAACTGATCTTTTAATAAAAAGTTTCAAATCAGAGACCTGGTAGATATCTTATATACTGAATGACATCTATACTATCTTATCATTCGTTCCTTCTCTGGTATATATAATTTCTTCCTTCATTTTCTCCCCTTCTAATCAATGAACTATGTATAATCTTATTACCTTGCACAGTGTTTTTCTACTTCTCTTAAGAAAATGAATTATTTGGTGAGGGAAGAAGAAAATGTAACAAAAAGTAAGATTTTATGTCTTTTAAAGGTTAAAAGAGGTTACATTTTTTATTTTATCATTTATAGAAACTCGTTTCCACAAGCTATCATTTAGAAACTGGAGAGTATTAAAAAAAAAAAGGCATATTTTGCTTTTAATTTTCTTAAATAAAAATTCCTTGACCTATGAACATTACCTGCTTATAACTCTCTAAAACAAGGAATCCATAATAATAATGTTCCAAAACATGTTATATAACCATAAGAAAGGCTATCTGTTATATTTCTTGCAATAAAGATTTTTGGTTGATATATGGGCCAATCAAAATGAACTCTAACTAAATCTATATTGTGGACACACAGACACTGACTTCTCTCTTCTGATGAACAGCAGGAGGCCAGGACAGTGACCTAATTCCTGAAGGGGTTAGGAAAAAACCATCTAATCTAATTAACTCTCCACTCACCTCAGCATAAAAATGCACTGACTTACTGTCAGCCAGCTGCAGCTGAGACGTCAACTCCACGATCCTTGCCATGTAGTGATTTTTAATTAAGTCTTCACGAGATTCCACATCTGGAACCTAAATAGAGCACACATAATTCAATAAAGGCCAGGGAGATGAAACAGCTCTAGGAAAAAAAAAAAAAGCATCACTTTAGCAAAAAAAACCAGACATTTTGCACATTTTCATTTGAAATGTGATAGGGAATTATAGTTTTTCCACCTGTCAAACTTCAGACAGAGCAGGTAAATATATATTGCAAATTTCTTTTATTCAGCATCCTGCCTATCTCACAATGAAGCTGAGGCTTCAACACAACAAAGCAGAAGTGAAGTATTAGGAGGCCCACCATACGTGGAGCCATGTCCCACCATCTGGTTTTCACTAGCCACAAGCCTAACTTTCAAAATCTCCATCCATTCGATGGACCTGAAGACCGTCATTCAAAGTGAAGTGGGCCAGAAAGAGAAAGAAAAATGCCATATGACATCATTTATATGAAAAATCTAAAAAATAATAATAATAAGGACACAAATGAACTAATTATTTTGATTTCTTGAATATATGTAAGCACATTGGACTGTCTTTTACGACTGGATTACCACTTTCTGTTGATTCTTATTTTGTAGTTGGCTTTATTCCTTTGATAACTATGGAAGTTTAAAAAGCTAAAGATGTAATCTGTTCTTAGAAACAATAATTAGTACATATATGAAGACTAAAACAATGTGCGGTATACTGTATATATGCATTTATATGCAACATAATGTGTGTGTGCAGTCAAACTATAATAATTCTACATAATAAAATTGGGGGAAAAAAAAATCTCCATCCATTCGACTACTATGTCCTCCTCTAACTGGAAGAGAACAGGGGGAAGGGGAGCATCTACTGGAACTCCTGAAAAAAAGGAACATTGTTTTTACCCCTAAATTATCTTATGATAGCAATGCTTTTAAACATACTAACAAATTAGGGAGGAGGGTATAGCTCATTGGTAGAGTGTGTGCTTAGTGTCAACAAGGTCATGGTTTCAATCCTCAGTACCCCCATTAAAATAAATAAATAAATAATCTAATTACCTCCTCCCAAAAATAAAAAAAATAAAAAGGCCTAAACATACTAACAAATTAAACTGTTCCTACAATGAACAATTTACAGTCCTTGTCCCAGACTAGTTTTCTACTAGTTACTCTAGCAGTGACACACTATGGGTTTTAAATATATGCAGAAGTTCAAGATTACCTTAAGTATAAGGCCAATAAGGAAATCAAAGAATTTACAGACCTACTTGAACTATATTTACTAGCTTGTCATACTGAGGGGTAAGGTGAATGAATTCAGTGTTCTTTTAATGGTTATTTATAAATTTACATCTTATTTCAAAATTAAAATGTGTAAACCTGACAAGCCAAATCTGATCTGGGTTCACTCACCTGAGGGGCTGAAAAGAACTACCAAGCCCACTGACGGTCAAGGCCCTGAAAAGCCCTACCTTCCCATCCTGCCTACTGGGAGGGTGAGGTTCTCAGCCTCGTGCCACATGCCAGCGAGCTGGTGGCCAGGCTCGTGCCCCACCTTGTCAAACTGCCAAGACAAGTCATTTAAGGAGGCAATTACAGAAACAGGCTATAATTTGTTGGTGACAGTTAAAACTGACCCAGAGAGAAAAGTAACATGGATCCACATTTGCTAGAATCGTCAGAGAACACAATTGGACAAAGCTGACTTTTACAGCTTTTACAACAAACGTGGCCAGATATTTACTAACAAACAACATGATGTTAAGCACAAATTACCTCGCTGTCAGATGTCCTGGTTAAAATCCCAATCTAGAACACAAGAGAGAAAAACCTTTAGACTTTCACACTTCCAACACAATAGTTTAAATACTTGTAATATTTTCTCTTCTCGGTTCATACTGTTTTGAAGTGCATTAGCAGTGGAGTTCTAGAAGATCACCCTCAAATCAATCCTCCGTCCCTGCAAAAAAGCTGGACCTGCGGATAAGTAATCACACTCTCGATTTCTGCCATGAGGCAGTGATGGATAATGACTACCACCACTATTTCCGCTATCAAAATGCTATTAGCCATTTTCACTGAAAACCAACAAATTGTCTGGGAAGAGGGAGAGGAAGAACAGTTCTTAACTCCTCTTGTCATTTCTACACTCACTTCCAAAGCAGCAGCCAAGAAGATGTAAAAACAGTTTCATGATGACCGTAATAACTAAATATTCAAAACACAAAACACAAATAGTAAACTCTCCGGCTGAAAGGTCAAAGGAGAAAGAAGAAATACATTTTTGATATGTTACTATGACACTAATAAGAATTAATTTCAGACTTAAATTAATGAAAAAGAAAATGTAATTATAAACACATTAAAGTGTTACCAGGTTTTTAAAAACTTGCTTCAGTGGATTAAGAATTCAAAACATCTTGATTGTGGTGGTGGTTTCAGAGGTGGATACCTCTATCAAAATTCATTAAATTGTATATCTGAAATATGTATAGTTTACTGTACAGGAATTATACACTACGATAAAGGTGTTTTTAAAAAAAAAAGAATTCAAAAACAGATAGCCATGGTTCCTGAATTCAGGTTACTGTTGAAAGAGGAAGGGCATGTGCCTGGGCTCAATAATTTAAGGAAACTATTGGAAACTCAGTTCTATAGATTCTGTTAATCAGAGGTAACATCCAATGAATAGTTTTCACAGATTCTAAATAATACCTTTAAGAGTACTGCTTTGAACTGTGAGCAGTATATGAACGTTATGCCCACTTTGCTGTAAAAGGATCTTTCGTAAGTCCCTTTTTTATAGAAGAGCTGTAATTTTCTACACATTGAAGTAGGAATAGCAATTAGTCTTTCAGTTAAAAACTGTTTATAGTAACGCACTCATCATTTTAATTTTATACATTCAAATATGGCTACATTTGGCAAAGTAAGCCACAAGTATGCATCTGTTCTGCCTCGCCACCCTGTCTCTTTACTCCTGGGATATGGTTTGAAAATGTGGTACAGCACACAGTCCCACAAAGGAATGGAAGAATATAAATGGAAGGAAGAGCTATAACATTAATCATTTCAACATTTTCTCATATGCCAGTAAGAGTATAAACTAATATAGCCCTTTTAGAAAATAATTTGGCAATAAAGATCAAGGAATTTGCAAACATTCATGCTTTTTGACCCAGTTACTCTAACCCTGAGAATACATCCCAAAGAAAACATCTGAGATATATAAAGACTCTTACGCATAAAAATGAGATGTTATTTATAATAAAAAAAATTATAAACAATGTCCAATCATAAGTAAACTAAAGAGTACTATGGAATCAATAACTAAGTTTACATAGTTCCTAATAACAGGATGTATGTTTTTATACTAAAAGATTTGAAATTTTATATAGTATAATGTCAACCAAGTACGACATTTTGTAAAAAAAAAATGTTAATGTTTGTTGGGTATTCAGGAAAATATCAATTTTTTTCTTCTTTTACTCTTCGGTATTTTTTAATTATCTACAATGTACATGTATTATTTTTATATTTAAAATATGTATTTACAAATTCTATGAATTTAAGCAATGCTTTAATTTCAGCAAAAAAAGTGGAAACTTGTATTTCTCTCTGCTTTTTCTTAAGGTTACAGCTATTCTTTTATTATAATAAATAACAGGTGGCTAAATGTTCAAATTACAGTACGAGGAATTTCAATGAAAAATAATAAGCCGTTTAACTTTGGAAGTGCTGTAGGGAGAGAAATAACAAGTTTCTATCTGATGTAACTTTTTCAGTCCCAAAGTGCCTGAACCAAAGGAATCTTCCGGGGACTTGCAAGGTGAGTTCCTCTGTTAAACAATTAACTTTAAAGTGGGCACAGACTTACTCCAACTCCCAAGAGGAAGACAACAGAAAGGACACACACAGAGCCACACACTTAGCTCACTTAAGCTCACTTGGGGCAGGGTGGGAGGTTTGGGGGAAGAGGCGATAAAAAGAAAGGCTGAAAAGAAAAACATCAGAGAAGGCAGAAAACGCCACCTTTTTTCATCTCTATTGTCTCCAGGTTATTTTTGGCAGGAACCTGCCACGTGCAGAAGGGAAGGAGAGTTATGTGGGGAGACCATTCTCTCAGCCTGAAATATACTCTTTTTCTGCCTAGGGCTCCTGTTCACTTATGAAACGCACCAATGTTACCCCTTCTGTGATGAACTCCCTGAATCCTCCAGGCGCCTTTTTACACTGTGAAACATGAAAGGGGGCCAACCATGTCCTGGTTCTCTGATCCTGACCATTAAAGACAATGCCCCAAACTAGTATTCATGGAAAATGTGGCACCTCAATGGTACCTTAAATGATAGTAAGAGTTTTGAATTCAATAAGACAAAGAGAAGGAGAGAGGAGTTAGAAGGCAAAAGTATTTGAGTATGCAGGTGATGGGAGTGATGGATAGACATCCAGACAAAAGATAACAGCTTGAACAAAGACAGGGAAGCAAAAATGCAAAAAAAAAAAATTATCTGGAAACTGAGCTCAGTTTGGGTTTGTACAAGGAAATGTAGAAAAAAGGTAGCTTGGAGTAGGTGTTCACAGACCTTGAATGTCAAACTAATGAGTGGATTATATAATATAGATAGTAGGGAGCCACTGAAGTCTTGAAGCAAGAGAGTGCCTCATCAAAAATATACTCTAGGAAAATTACTCTGCTAGCATCTTATGAGGGTAGGAGGAAAGAGATCCTTAAGAGATGCAGACAGAAATAGCAGAAATCAAGGCTATGTAGCACATGCTAACCAGACAGACTACTTAAAGTAATAGCAACTTCCAAACTCACCAAATCCAAATAAAGTCATCGTCACTCATTACTAAAGGTTTCCCATGTCCCTGGAATCTTTCTCACTTACGTATGGAAGAATAGTGCTCTACACCGAAAATATTCAAATAAAAAGACAGTCCTCAACATTCAGCAACTGAGATTAATGACTCAAATACACTAGTGTTACCAACTTTCAGTACTTCAGAAAGGCAAGCTGTAAACAAGTAAGTCTGTCAGTTGATTTGTTTTTTGACATCTGTCAGAGCACAAGACTACGTTGGTTAAAAGGACAGAGGGTGGACCTAGATGTCCTGGGTCTGAATCCTAGTTCCATCACTTATCAAGTACGTGACTTTAGGTGAGTTATTCTACCTCTCTGTCCCTACGTTTCCTCATCTATAAAATGAAAATGTGATAGTACCTACAATCCCACAGGATCTGTGTGAGGACTGACTGAGTTGACACACTGAAAAGTCCTTAGGACCATGCCTGGCACATGACCATTGCAATTACTGTCATTGTCATCAATGCCCTCTCTGGTCTGGTCCCACAGTTAGTCCCTGGCCAGCAACCAACCACTGCTAGTGCAAGTGAGAGAAAAAGGAAGAAGCAGAGGCAGGGCAGCAGGAAGAGACGATGAGATAATGAAGAAATCAAACCCAGTGGAGAACAGTCCAACCTAATCAGTGAGCAGGCTCTGAAGGAAGTCCAAGGATGAACGGTGGCAGTGCTGCACTTCCCCAAAGGGTACCTGAGCAGATGTCAGAATTCTCCTCTGTTTGTTAAATGCTCTTCTAGGTAGTCATCCTTCCCTGTCAGAGGCAATGTGCAACACTTGTGGCCGGGACTCAGACTTGCCACTGGGGGTCACACAGGATCATCCAGTGAGCATGGTGGCCATTCAAGTCACAGCTCTGAGAAGTTTGCTTTGTTTTTCCCTTTTCTAAAAATTTTAACTCTCTTTCCTCCCCTACATTTTATTATGAAAATGTTCAAACACACAAAAAAGTTGGGGAAAAAATTATAATGAACATCTGTGTATCCATCATCCACATATGATAATAAATGACTTGCTGTATTTGCTTTATTTATCTGTTGTGTGTATATATTTTCTGAACAATCTCAAAGTTGCAGACATTATGATACCTTAACCTAGGTACTCTGGCATTTATCTCCAAAAAATTAAGATATTCTCCTGAATATTCATAATATCATTATCACACCTAGGAAAACTAACACTAATTCAGGTTACTGACACTGTTAAGGTACAGTGAGGTCTGTATACATCCTGAATATAAAAGCTCATTTGTGTGTTTACTATCAGGTATGCTCTGGATCAGACACAAGGTAGATGTGAGAATGACTGTGACTTGCTCTTCAACAGTATCAGTGAGCTACAGGGCTAATACACGCCTTAGGACAGGGCCTTCATGAAGTACCATGGCTCTCCTCAGGCTCCTCAAATGCTTACAAAAATACACCTAGTGAGATCCTTCCAATTTTGAGGGTTTTTTCCCTTCCCTTCCTGATTTCTCATTTTGGTTTTTTTTGTTTGTTTGTTTGTTTTTTACAGTGAGTAGAGAACATTCTAATCAGAAAACTTTTCTTAATGTAACTTTGAATTCTGTAAGTCCAATAAAGATGTTTCTTCACCTTCGAAATCAATGCAGCTAAATATAAGGCAAGAAATATAAAGCTGCAAGATAACTTGCCAGTTTAGTGTCTTCTAAAATATAACTAACTATATGTGTATCATAAAGTTTTATACTATCTAGGAATATACCATACAATTGGTTTAAAATGCTATTTGTGGTCATTTCTATAAAAAGTTAGGCATTTAGCCCTTGGTCAGAAACATAACCTCCATATTACAAATGTTTTGATGGAAAAACAGAATTATCTTAAATTTAATTTACTATTATTTTCTCTAGGAACACAGCCCTCACCATGGGGAAATCTCATGTAAAATCAAAGGGAATCAAATGGAGTTGCTTTTTGAAGGGAGCATCCTGCTTACCAACCTGCTTTTTCTAGAGCACATGGATTATTCCTGCTATAAACTGATGTGTGATTTAGACGGTTAACACTGAACACGTAGCTGGATCCCTATCAATTAGCATTAACAAAAGAAAGACACTTACCAGACTGGTGCTGTGAATGGGCTCCTGCCCAGCCTTAGCTGAGGCGTCTTCCTGGCCCATAGCAGTCACCACGGTGGCACTTTCCTGGGCCAGCCCAACCATCTGCCCATTACTTGTACTCTTCAGTTTATCTGCAATTCGCTGGTTTTCTTTCTCCAGCTTGATTTTAGCTAACTGAGCTTCCAACATCCAATGTTCTTTTTCCTGCTCCAATTTAGAAATCTTCTCCAAACTCTGCTGAACCTTGAAAGCAACAGAGTTCTGCACCTTAGAGGATGTTGCAGGCAAAACTTAGCAGCTCAGAAGAGAAAAAAAAATTATAGAATGTAAACCAAAACTACTTCACAGTTGTAAAAATAAAAAAGTTTGATCCTTGAATAGGGAGAGTTTATTATTAAACAGGATACAAAAAGCACAACCATAAATTGAGAAACTGAACAAAATAAAAAAATCTCTAGTCATCAATAGGTATCATAAAGAGATTGAAAAGGAAAACCACAAAGTGGACAAAGCAGCATGTATCCAACAGAGGACTAATATCCAGAACACAAAAACAACTTCTATAATCAATGATAAAAAGATAGGTAACCCAATAGAGAAACAGGAAAAGAGACTGGACTAGGCACTTGAACAAGACTATCAACATAAAAAAGAAGGGACTCGATGTCACTATTTATCAAGGAGAAGCAATTCAAAACCACCAAAATGGCTAAAACAGAAAATACAAAGATGGGCATGTTTGTGGAGCAACTGGAACTACCATTTAGTGCTGGGAGGAGTGGAATTTGGGACACTTTGTAAACGGTTTGGCAGGATCTTTAAAAGCTGAAAATGTCATATCCTATGACCTAGCAGTTCCACTTCTAAGTATATGCCTAACAGAAATGCATGCATATTTATCAAAAGATAAGTATAAGAACACCCACAGCAGCCCTATGATAGACAAACACTTGAAACTACCCAAATACTCATAATAAGCAGTAAAAATGGATAACTGAGTTATGTATATTCACACAACAGAATACTCAACAACAATGAAAATGGACCACTTACAACTACATATAACATGGATGAACATTACAAATATAATGCTGAACAAAAGAAGTGAGATCTGAAAGAGATGCTGCATAATTCTCACTTAATATAAAGTTCAGTATCAGACAAAAAAACAAAGAACACAGGATAATGGTTATCTCTGGGGGAAGAGGAGAGTAGTAACTAGAAGGCTTCTGGGGTCCTGATCATTTTTTTTTAAGGTACATCTTACAAAACAAAACGTCCTTTTAAAAAATTTTTTATCTAGCTACTGGTTACATTAGTGTATTTACTTGTGAAAATTCATTGGGATATATTAATAATTTATATACTTTTCTTTTGTATACTTCAATAAGAAGTTTCAAAAAAAACTAATTCACCAAGCAAATGAAAGCATGAGAATTAAATGAAAATAAAAGCAGCCTTAGCATGAATTCCAAATGCTTTACCAACTATCATGGTTGAGCAATTACCATGTACCAGACACTGTTCACAATTTCCTCCCATTATCCCACTGAAGCCTCCTAACAATACTACAACTCTCATTTCTCAAAGAGGAGAACTGAAGTCCCAGCAGCTCAAACCACCTGCTGAGCTAACAAATGGCAGAGCCAGGATTTGGGACCTCATGTGTCTCGTTCATCAGTCTGATGATGCTTCCCACCACATCATACTGCCTCCTCCCATTGGCTGAATTAATCCCTGCAAGACCCTCACTTTAGACAGGCAGGATGTGAGACCCCCGAGTGCTTTCAGACCAGCCTGCAGCTGGTCAATGGCAGAGTGGGAAAAGCCACAGCTCTGAAGTCAGACCGTTCCACCACTGACTAGCTACTTTGGATAAAAGCTGCTTAATTTCTTTGAGCCTTACTTTCCTCACATAAAATAAGAAGGTGGTCTACATTTCACTGTTAGTCTGTTTTTCAGGAATTATGTGGATTAAATTTTTAGTTTCAACGTCTTCTTGAATTAATGCTGAAAAGGTAAGTGATGTGTCCAATGAAAATAAGGTCAGCATAGGCAAAATATTGTCTCTGATGAACCTGTGCTTCCCTTAAAACAAGTATTTCCAAAATCAAAAGCAAAGCAGGTGTTAAAGTGAATAAACCTCTGGCAAAAACTAAACTGGCGTCAGTCTGCACCAACTTCTGAAAAAGACAGTACCACCTACTTCCACCAAACCCCCAAATTCAACTGACCAACTAAATACTGGAAATTTCTTATTCCTGCTCATTTAAGAAATAAAAATAACTCACCTAATCTCTAGCCTTCCCCTTTTTTTGCCTTATTATTTCAGCCATTTAAATCTATTTATTAGAAATAAATAATCAGCATGGCCAAAGTGTGCTGATATTACTTCAGTGGCAATTACAACACCAACTGAATTAAGACGACTTATTTAGAGTATCAAGATACGTTTTCAATAAATAATGCTTATGGTGTTTTTTTAGCATGTTAGTTAATTAATTTTGCATGTTTACTTATATAGTCTTTTAAACCACTCTATGTATATTAAAGACCTTCTACAGGGGATTTAACATTTATGCCCTTTAACAA